ATGTCCCACAGTCCAGTCCAATCCCTGTCTGAAGAGTTGGCCTTGGAAATTGTTTTAGTTCTGGGCTGATAGAGAATCCGGGGGCCATGCTTTCCGGGGTTGCTCCAGTCTCAGACCATTAAGTCTGGTCTTCTTACTAGAATTTGAGTTCTGCACCCCACCTTTCTCCTGCTCCATTCGGGGCTCTCTGTTGTGTTCCCTGTCAGGGCAGTCATTGGTGGTAGCTGGGCACCATCTAGTTCTTCAGGTCTCAGGCTGATGAAGTCTCTGGGTTCTGTGGCCTTTTGTGTCTCTTGGGCTACTAGTTTCCTTGTGTCTTTGGTGTTCTTCATTCTCCTTTACTTCAGGCGGTTGGGACAAACTGCTGCATCTTAGATGGCCGCTTGCAAGCTTTCAAGACCCAAGGCTGTAAATCTTTACAGAAGCAGGCTGCCACGTCTTTCTCCCTTGGAGCTACTGGTGGGTTCAAATCGCTGTCATTTTGGTTTGCAGCTGAGCACTTAACCACCATGCCACCAGGGCTCCAGTATTCACAAGTATAGGGTTTAGGATTTACAACACATATTTTGGGGGACACAATTCAAGTTATAACAGAGAGGCAGTCAGGGAGATGAGGAGGCAAAGACAAAGGGAGAGAGGGCAGCAGGTAGCGAAGTGGAGATGGATGGACAGCTGGACAGACTGACTGATGCAGAGGAGCATGGGGACAGGTGGCGGCCGGGGGAGCTTTCCTTTTTACATCTTAATTAAAAGAGGTTGATGGACTGACACTTTAGAGTTTGGGAAGGACATAGCTTGTGGACATCACATTTTTTTTCCCTCCCATTTGTTCTTGAGACCAAATCTGTGAGTGACATCTGTCCCGGTTGTGCTGTGACCCTAGGTGATTTCTCTCTGAGCGTGGGTTACAATTTATCTGACAGACATTTATGGAAGACCTTCTATGCCGAACACTGGGCTGGGCCCTGGGAGTAGAGGGCAGTAAAGGCTCGACAGTGAACTCTAATACATTGTGACAAATCAGTCAAGCCAGGCAGAAACAAAGCGCTGTGGAAGCAGAACGGAGGGAACCATCGATTCTGCCCAAGAGGGCGAGGAAGGCCTCATGGAGGCAGAGGCATGGGTGGTGGGCCTGACACAAACAGGAATTTTCCAAGGAGAATTGGGAAAGCGAAGGTCCCTGGTGGTGCAGATGGTCTGAGCTCTGCTGGTAACCAAAAGGTTGATGGTTCAAACCCACCTAGTGGTATTACAGAAGAAACAGGTCTGGAGATCGCC